TGATAGCCTCATGTCTAGTGGCAGGAAGCCTAAAATGCTCATTAAAGCCCTGTTACTGTGCCAACCCCGCTCGCCCGGCGCCTCGGCAGCTCGGGGCACACCATGACCACCCCACCGGCCCCAGCCAGCAGAGCCAGCCCCGGTGTGTGCACAGGGGCTGAAAAGCACAGCTGGAAAAGGAGCTCCCTGGGACTTTTCAAAGAGTTGGTGCTTTCTTGCTGATGGCCTTTGGGTGGGAATGGTGGAGGTGGGGCTGGTGTGGGCTCCCTGTGCCACGCTGGTGCTGGGAGCTACCTGTCCAAGTGCATTGTTGACCTTGCCCAAGACGTGGTTGTCTCCATGTTGCACTAATCATAGAATCATAGAATTGTTTGGTTGGAAAAGACCGTTAAGATCATCAAATCCAACCATACCTGTCCACTACTAAACCATATCTCTGAGCACCCCATCTACACATCTTTTAAATCCCTCCAGGGATGGGGACTGTGGTGATGGGGTAGTGCAGTCTTGCTCCCTCCCACGCTGCAGCCCAGCCAAGATCCCACCTGGAGCACCACGATCAGCCGAGCCCGGGCACCAGGGATGGGTGAAGCTTTTAGCAAACACAGCAGCTGCCTTTGCCGAGTACTCCAGAGCGCTGTGGATGAGCAGCGTGCTTGTCGGCAGCCACCTTCATGAATATTTTAGCTCAGGGAATTAACATTTGTCAAGAAGCATTTATGGAGGCAGCGTGGATGTCTCTTCCCCAAGCACCAGAGCCTGAGCCCTTCCCGTGCAGCGTTGTGGTGGAGCAGGACAGCAGAACCATGATCTCCCTCCAGGACAGCCAGGCCCTGGTGCTGAGGCAACCAGCCCACCATGTGAGATAGACAAATGGTTGTGTTTTTGTTTTTGTTGGGTTTTTTTTTTTCCATCTCCTCCTGGTTCTTGGCAGAAAGTAAAATGTCCCTTTTGTTTGATTTCCTCCTCCCCCTGCCCCATCGCCTTTCTTTAAAGGTTGTGTTCCAGATTTCATCAACCCACGTTGTGTAATAGCCCTGGAGAATGACACGGGCATTGGCTGTGTCCCACCAAGGCCATGGCAGAGCTGCTTCTCGGGAGCTTGACCTCTGGGTTACCTGCTCAGAAAACATCTTGTGTACAGTTGCTGAGTGAAGCTCTGTTGTGTTTTGGATCAAGCTCCTATGATGCCCATGTGTTAGAAGTGATGGGGAAGGTATTTAGAGAAAATTTGGGAATTTTTGAATCAAAATAATCCTGTGTTTTTACCTCAGCCCTGCAACACTGTATGGAAGTGAGGGACTCGGGCAGATAAAACCTGTTGACTTACAGCATCAGCTCATGTGCCTGGGAGTTCATCCTCCACGGAGCATCCAGCACTGTGCATCCTCCTGCCACAGCACCTGGGTCTCTCCAGTAATTCTTCTTCCTTTGGGTTTAGAAGAGGTCCCCATTCTTTATTTCCTTCTTTTCCACTGTCTATGGTGGGGGATTGTGATAGTTTCACTACAGTTGCTGGGCTCTGCATCCTTAGAGCATCCATCTGAAGGTCCCTGCATCTTGTCTGGAGGCTGGTGGGGTTGTAGATGTGGAGAGCACAGTGTGACTGCCATCCTGGGCACCCAGGAAGGGAGAGGAGGAGGAGGAGAGCGTACTTTAGGCTTTGTGTAGTATGGAGGAGGGATGCTGTGAGCACGTGTGTGTGTAAATATGGCTCTGTCACACCAGAGGGAAACAGCAATGCGATTGTTCCTTGGCTCTGGTTCCTCTGCTGATACTGGCAGCGTGGAGAGCTGTAGCTGCTCATATGGTGTGGGTGTTGCCTTCTCTGTGCTGGCATGTGGTGAGCGATGGGGGGCTGCTCTGCTCACTGGGCCGGAGGTGACCGATGGCACCAAGGAGAGGTGCTGCTCATGAAGATGCCCGTAATGGTGTCCTCTGCTGGTGCACCCTGCTGTGCTTCCACTCCTCCCCCCAGTTAAAAGACACGCAGAGGGATCAGATCCAGTCACGGGGTAGCTGTGTGCTCCATCCCTTTGACAGCAGCGTGGGAAGTGGCAAAGGCGGGGTCAGTGCCTTGGGACAGGGCTGTCCCCAAGGTGAGGACTGGCAGGAGCCAGCAGCTGGAGCTGAGCCTGAGCGTCCACTCCTGCCTCACCCGGACGCAAAGCTTCCCCATGGCCCTGGGGTCCAATGCTGGGTTCAACCTTGTATCAAAGCATCTGCTCTTCAAAGGGCTGGTTGAAGTTCCTGCCTTGTTATTGTTTTGGTGTCTCTGCCATGTAACACCTCCCTGCTTTTGCATTTATTTATTGGCTTCCAATTGCCAGAGCCACATGGTCCTCACCTGGCCTGGGACCAGCCCAAGGAGCAGCTCTGCTCACCCTTCCCTGGGCATCCCCAGCCCTGTGGAACTCCCCAGTGCAGAAACGGGCGCTCAGAGGTGGGGAAGGGGTCCATATGTCCTTGTCCCTTGCTGCAGACCCTCTCCCATCTCCCCTGCTCCCACACCACTGCTCCGGAGCTTTGTCACACTGTCCCTGTTCTGGTTCCTCAGGGAGAGCAGCCGGGTGCCACCTCCAACTCCTCCGCCACAGATCCCCGGCCGGTTTCGCGGTGCTCCCGGG